TTAATATATTTCCATCGTATTCCCCCCACAAATACTTCGTTAATCATAAAAGTTTCATTTATTTGAAAAGGTGTTTATTCACAATTTCGAAATATTTTTCCTCGCCCGGCACTCGCGACGGCGGAGCGCGAAACAATATGATAAATAAACGTCAAAAAGTACAACGAAAGTATTATTCAGTAACTCCGCCACATTTAATACAATCCCCGCGCTATTTCCGAATATCTGTAGCGCGAATATCAGCACACTATCTCTAATCCCCCCATACCCCAGTCTTTCCTTCAATCTCGAAGTTCTATCATCCTCCCCCCACCCCTTCTCTTTCTCTCTTTCTCTCTCTCTCTCTCTTTTTCTCTCTCTCTTTCTCGCGTCTCTTACCGCGAAACTCGCCCAACCAACCACCCGCTTTTCCGCCGTCCCCGCGAGGCAGAAAATCTGAGAGCGAGATAATTACGGTTGGAAGCGCGGATATTATTTAACCAACATTTCGCTGCGCAGACCGGGGGAGTGGATGAGAGCAAAGGGTGGTCAGGTAGGGGGAGGAGGAGGAGGAAAAGGATAGATGGGAATCGGAGGAGAGCTCGGGGGTGTTCTTACACGAGCGGGGCCCGATCAAATATAACAGCGGTCGGTACAACACCGCTGCTAATATCGCCAGCGCGGTGGAAATTCCTTCCATGTTTTCAAATCTTCTCTCCCCACCCCTTTTTTTCCCCGAAGAAAAACACCCGATTGCCCTGCACTTCTCGCGGCGCGGCGGCGCGCGCTCAAATATTTTACTTCCGCCGGAAGAAATATAACCAAGACTTAATCCACGCTCCACCTCCTCCGCAACCGGCACATATACGTGGAATGTTTTGAAAACTGAGTTGATTTCATATCAGCAGATTGAGAAAGCCGATATGCAAATTATCCTTTCTCGGTGGAGATCGCTGAGATCTCCGGGAGGACCTAAAATGCTTTATTGATCTCGCGATATTTTTATGTTGCGCTTTCTGCGTCACGCTGATTGTATAAATTATTCGATATTATGTACAGATATTTTTCGTTAAGGATTGCATGATTAATTTATGAAATCCATCACGCATATTTTATTTCTTGCGCGTAAATTGAGGATATTAATCAGATAGTTAAAAATCGGACTCTCGTTTGCCCGTGCCTGATTATTGTAACTCGAGTAGCTGGACGTACGCCAATGTGGGAGGTAACGCGGCGGCGGCTATTTTTCCGCGGGGATCTTGATATTCATCTAGTTTTACTACTGACACGAAAGAACCGAGCCAATTTTATGCGGGCATCCCGTCGTTTGCAACATACGAGAAAAAGTCTAACAATAAGTCGAAACACACAGAGTGAAGAAGCGGCATTCATTTTATGAATAATTCATCCGATCGTGGTAGGTATTAGCGCGCGGCACGAGCCGAACAGTAACATGTAAATGAAGCGATAAATTTTGCATGGACAGGTTGTGAAGTTCCCCCCGTAACCCCAATTTGGCACAGTTTCGCTATCTCTCCTTCCTCTCCCTCCCCTCCGCCCCTCCTACCTTTTTTTCCTCTCTCCGCGTGTGCAGGTCGTTAGTGTCTGCGCTCGTAACTTCGAGCCACTTAAACGCACGCGTGAGGCAGATTTAAATAAATAGATTTTCTATGTCGCACATGGTACGGTACGTCGGAATAACAATTTACGATCTTCGACGTATAGTTTTTTTCTTAGATACAATTCATCGTAAACGAACGACGACCCGCGACTCGCAAATTGCGCGCTCGCCACGTTAATAGTCGCCCCTGTAATCGCGCCGTTTTCCGCAGCGTTCCATCCAGATATCCCGTTTCATCCCCGAGACCATAAGGCTTATCCGCCAAGAAAATCGAGCTACCCGCGCGAACCCCATCAAAATCCGACAGAACTGTTCCAACGCCCCCTGATGCTCGCTACTCACCCCTTTCTCGAAGCAACCGCGAAGTAAAAGAGAAACGGCGGGGAGGGGGTGGAGGGTAATGGTGGCGCGTTGCGGTTTTCAGCTTTTACGACCGAATTACGACTTTTCAACTATTTTTACGAGAGTTGTTTCAATTATTTCACCAATTTGCAATTAAGAGCGCGGCGCACCACCCCCGCGGGAGTCGACGCCGCCGATGATAGGGGCCGCAAAGGGTTGGCGCCTCTCTCGAGCTTTATGGGGCTGATAATTTCGTGATTAGCCAATTAAAGGAAAAAATTAAATAGCCAACGGGGGTCGATTGCGGGACGAGCATCGGCCGTTAATGTATCGAGAGAAAACGGGAAGATTTGTAAAAAATTATTGTTTTTATATCATTGCCGACTAATTAATCGGAAAACTTGCGAGAAAGTTTTGATAGATTTTATTGAGGCGGTACTCTTCGTCAATTAAATTTTTGCATCGGTATATGGAACATTTAATGGGAAAATTGATTGTTATTTTTTGTGTGAATATATATGTATATGTATATGATAATATATTTGATTCTAATGTAATGTTGAGTACATTTTTACGCTGAATCAATAGCTAAAGACTAGTGCCTGCATTGCATCGAAAAGTGACATTATCTTGCGGGCAACTTGTAATTCGACAGTCTCCCAACTTTAAGGTTGCGCTAGAACGAGGAGGGGGTGCGGGAGGGAGAGCAATATATAAATTTGTTATTAACCCCGTTACGCCGCGCAACGTCGACGCACGCATCAGCCTCGACGAGACCTCTCACGCGACGGGATCTAAAACTTTTTTAAGCTCGCCTACTACCAGAGTCGCGTAGTATATACCTTAATGACAACAAGGGAATAGAAGACAATTTGTAGCTTCCCGTCTTCGACGGCGCGCGGGCGGTATCCGCCGATCGCCGCCGGTAGCACTTTTAAAGCCGGCCCGATGCGGCCGAGGAGGTCAGCATTCGGTTCGTTGCCGGCGCTGGCCACGATGGGTAGCGCGGGGTTGTTGGCATCGCGGCCCGAGGGTTTCGCTCCGGCAGGGCAAGGCGGGAGGGAGGGGGTGCAGCTCGAAGGAGCTAGCGGCGCGGAATAACGGTAAGTCTAGTGTTTATTTGATGGCCCGTAATCACGCTATTTTGTCATCAACGGTAGGCCTCCTTCCGACGATGTATACCGACGTAGGGGCCGGCTCCGCACTTATACTCAGCCCCTAACTCACCCTCTCCCGGCCACCCGCGGCCCACTCGAGGAAGGGAGGGACTAATTCGAAGCGCCGTTGTGCCATGCCGCAGCACCGGGGCGCATCTTGTTTCCGGTATAATTCTAAAACGTAGCGAGGCGTAGCACGCGCGAGTGTGATGCACGTATGCAATCTCGCACAACAGGAGATACCCTTGATATTCTTCCGGCGTTTCCATTGCTCTTCCTGACCTGACCGCCGCTCGTGATAATGCGTGCACGCATGCCACCGCGCCACGCTGCAATTAATCCGTGACGGTGCGAAACTGCGAAATCTTCCCAGACTTTGACAGTCTCAAGAATTTGTCGGCTTTACAAAGCTATCGTTGATACCTGCACGCGAGATAACCCGCGGGACCGAGTGTGATGCGTCATGCGGGAATGATATTTGCGAACTTTATCCCGCACACAATCGCATATGTGCAAAATAAAAATATTCCCGATACGATAAATAAAAAAAATATTTTTTTATTGAAAAATAACGCGATAAACTTCGGGGTAAACTTTTGAACTTATAATGCAACAAAATGGAAGTTTGCAGTGGAGTTTGGCAAATATGACGTTTTAATTAATGTTACATGTCACAAAATAAGGAGCTTGATCCTGTAATATCGTACAGCGAGAGGAGTGGTAGAATATTAGTAACGCAAGTCATCATTTCAACCGCAACTACAATACAATATAATCTTTGCATGTTTCTGCAGTCCGCAGTGGCCGATACGGGCGCGCTACGCCTCGGCGTGTACAGCGCGTAATAACGGCGCAACGGTCTGTGAATCATCGGCAAACGGCGCACCCAAATCTATATATTCGCGCGTTTGTGTGTTTTTGTGTATCTCTTACACCCGCGATATCGGTGGCGTAACGTTCGCTGCATTTCTGATGCACGGGTATAAGGTACTATGATATTGCCTCCGGTTACGGCGCGGGGGGCTTTCACATGTTGACGCGCGTGTCTGACGTGAAGCTAATTAGAAATTATTCAATAATGGGTTAGGAAATACTCAATAATAGAAAATAGTGTAATCGCGGTAACTAATATTAATGATACGGTAGGCCACTTTGTTGCCTTTCGAAGTTTCGCGGCAGCTGAATTCAATGACGAAATTTGGAATTTTAATTTAAAGATAATATTATACATAATGCAACATGGAAATGTTGTGTATAATGTAACGGGAACTAATGTGTCGGTTGTATTATAAATGTCACATGATATTTTCAGCAAAACAATTTGCACACAACGAAATTGCCTCATATATATATATCTATTGTTCGGATACAGAGTGGGATTTTCTTAGCGCCGAAAAATATTATAGAGAGATTGCGTCATCTAGATTACATAATGGCCTCGAGAAGAGTTTTGGCCTTTCTAAGTCTATCTATATATTGTATTTAACAAAATTATACACGCGTGTCGCCAAACGCTGAAAGAAAAATTATTGAATTATATTAATATTACTTTCTGTGACGTTAATGATATTCATTAGGAGGTATACAATATTTCGCTTGATTAATTCGCTAAGGCGTCACCTGCGTGACTGACACGCTATTTTTCGATAAATGCCTCTAAGCGCTGCGCCGCATTGGGGAAACATGCAAATAAACTCGTTGTGCGTAGGCGTTGCGTTGGAATATTGCGAATTCCAGATTCGACGCGCTTATCGCCCGCGGTGTCGTCGACTCGCTAGGCGAATACCGGTACCGGAGAAAGAGAGAGAGAGAGAGAGGAAGGGAGGGAGGGAGGATGGGAGAGAGAGGGGGTCAATTTGTCAGGAAGTGCACAACTCTGATGTGACATCGCGAGCGCTTACCCTAATGGAGCTTTACGGTGTAACAGCTCGTTGAGAGCTTAACACGCATAAGCGAGTAATCCCCGTGTCCCGACGGTTTCTCGATGGAACGCCTCGATTAGCTACCCTTGCCGATTAGGATACCGCAAATCCGTTGATAGCTACTCGGCGATCACCACGGTTCATTCCTCGATTGCCCTCGACCGCTCGGCTGCATTCAAGCGCTGATACAAACAATAACAACAACACGTGAGATATATGTTTTTTTCCACCATTGTGAAATATTGTACATATTTTGACAGACACGTCCACTCGCAACGATACGAGATCGAAAAACATGAAGCCGCATTGAAAAACTTACAATATTCACACGGCTATAAGTTGAATGTAATAATACAATCATTCATAATATTTGAAGGCGCAAAAATCAAATATTGCGAGATTTTAAGATAAAACGAATTAAACAACTACACGTAGTTGCTTCAACATGCGTATTAAACTATCTTTTTTGTTAGAAAAGAAAAAGATAATTACTTTGTGACAGATTAAATCTGGAGTATTATAATGAAAGAAGGCAGAGAAGCCCCCGATATAAATTTTCTTGATAATGTAGTAGCATCGCGGAACTTGTGTAAAGAGAAACTGCCGACGATCCTTCAACCCCTTTCCAGGGAGAGAGGTCGTCGGCCACGCTAATCGAACTCTTCCTCAAAATAATAGCAGGGCCCCTGCCACCCCCCTCCCTCTCCCCCCTCTCTCTTCGCGTACAACGCGAATCTCGCGAGTAGTGCCTAGCCCCGGTCCTGACTGCCTCATTACCCGCTTTTAATGAAACTCTTTTCTCCGGACGGGCCCGGGCTAAGCGCCCGTTGCCAAACCTCGTTTAGGCGATACGGATCAGCGTGCCTGCGAGCTCCTACTCAGCGAAGACTATAAAGGAGGGTCCACATTATCGAGCAAAACCGCGAGCCGAACTTCGCCGCGAACCGATCATGCGTCCACATTATCGAGCCGAACCGCGAGCCGAACTTCGTTGCGAGCCGATCATGCGTCCACATTGTCGAGCCGACGGGCTCGCACGAGGCTCGCGAACCTCGAATCGAACATCAGTGCGAACCATCGCGTACTCAGTCCACGAATCTGCAAGGATTTTGATGATACGCGGTTTGGCTCGCAGTGTCCCACCAAAAGTCGGTATTTCGACGAAACATCAAAAGATGCTTTTTATGATCAGATTATACGCTTTGTCGGGTGGTAGACTGGTAGTTAAGCTTCGATCTAGACAAATAATGACAAAAAACAAAAAATGAACTATGAAAGAAAACGTGAGTAATTGCCCAGTCGCTGTATTTGATTCTATCCACGTATGTGCAGTCTACACGACTACTGATAGACAAAATGGAATGGTCTGATAAAAAATGTTTAAAATTAAATAGTGATTATAAGCAGAAAAGATTATTATATACGGGACGCTAAAAATCCCGAACATTATAACAATTAAAAAAATGCCATGCATATTTATATTTACAATCGTATTTTTAACGTTGCAATATAAATTATAAATTTATTGCGTATTTATCATAGATTTAGAGTATGTTTATGCAATATTAAATATAGTTGGTACCACTCTAAATATAGTTTTATGGTTTAAAAAGGAATTAAGCTTTGAATACAAGAAAATAATAAAAGCACGCATATGTATACACATATTTAGTCGTCTTTTCCTGTTCTCATACTTTTTTTATAAGAAGAAATAAGTAAAGAACTCGAATGTGATAGTGACATGTGCAAAAAAAAGATGACGACATTATTGGCATCTCTGCAAAAAGAAAAAGCAAAAATAAAAAAAGTATGGAAACAGGAAAAGGTGAGTGAATATATGTATATGTGCTTTTATTATTTTTCTGTATTCAAAACTTAATTCCTTTTCAAACCATAAAACAAAATTTAGAATTAATATTGCATAAACATACTCTAAACCTGTGATAAATACGCAATAAATTTATAATATATATATTGCAATGTTAAAAAATACGATTGTAAATATAAATATGCATTTTGCATACATGTATTAAGAATTTATATAAATTTTATTATAAATTTCAATACGAGATTTGACTTCAAAAAATTTTAACTCATGTTCGCGGTTCGCGATGGAGTTCGATTTGAGGTTCGTCTGCAAGTTCTGCTCGAGGCTTGGTTCGGGACTCGGTTCGCGGTTTGGCTCGATAATGTGGACCCTGCTTAAAGCTTCACCCGTCCCGACGGCTCCGTTCCATGGACGAGTTCCGGCATCGAAGTTTCGCGCAAGTTTGCCGAGCCGAGGCGAACGTCTCTCTCCTTTCGCGCCGCGTCGAACGAGGAGGCGAGAAGGCCGGGATTTGGTCAGAGGGGAAGAAAGGAGGTTCAAGGTGGAAGAGGGGGAGGGGTTGGCCGGAAGAAGAGTCGAACGCGTCTGACACGATGCTTAAGCGTGCGAACTCTCTCCAGCCCCCTCGGACCAATCCCTCCAGTCAGTTCTAGCAGTTTTCGGTTCTCGCTCTCGCAACCCTTCACAAAAGGGATACGCTTCGCGCTTCGAACCAAGTTTCGGCAATTATTATCATCCGCGGTATACTCACGTTTCGTCGCAATTGTATACGCGCGTATCGTAAGACGTGTTGTTGCGTCGTATGTAAATAGAGGGAGATGACTCGAGAACTCTGAAGAGAGCGAGCCTGATCGATTTGTCATTCAACCAGGCAAACGGTGAAAGTGCGTATATGTACGACGCGACTACGTGTTCGTTGAACGATTCATATAATATTCGCGTTGTGAAAAAAGTAAGAATATTTAAAGAATCAAATTAAATTAATAACAATCAGTTTGACAAATCTATTTAGATTTATGTAATTATATTTATTGATGGTCGTACTTAACTATATTTGATATGAAGATATTATTGTTTTAAATAAGTTTTCACGTAAAAACTACATTATTCTTATTAAACGTGGTAGTAATTGTTAAAGACCACTTATATATTTTTTTGTTTGTCATCCTAAGGCCATTACCATAATCACATACCTTTATAGGAAGATAAATGCTATAGCAAAAAAACGTGACTCAGAAAATAATGTGTCTTGTAGCTAGGTCATTCGAATAATTCTTTTACTTTCACTATGCTAAGTATTTGCTTTGTAGTTTGCGCTATTTACTTCTCAAAGCCAAATATCATTTTCTGTAATCTGCTTGTAGAAGCCTAGTCTTCTCGAGCCTGAGCAAATAACGTTGTTACTCGTATGTTCTTAACGCGTTTGTCTCGTTAAATAAGATTAAGGAAAGATCTTTCCTCCATATTTCATCTATACGATTATTTTGAACGGCTGTCTAATATTCGTATTCATGCGACTTGTTTGAACGTGTCGGTCTGCGACGTCGAATGAAAGCGTTCCGTGCCATCCCTTTAAGTCTAGCCGGCTCCTTCTTCAATAACTCATTCCACGTCTTGCTTGCCAGCCCCCGGAAGGTGCGCGGGACGTGTCAGAAGACAACTCCACCCCGTGCTGTCCACTGTCTACGGGTAGTCCCCCTCTGAGTAACCGAGAAACCGCAGTACAACGAAACTGGCGAGTCGGGCAGGGGTGGTTGAACGGCATCGGCGGAGAAAAGCCGGCGGTGGACCATCCCTCTCCCTCTCCCTCTCCCTCCGCAGTAACCAAAATTTATATACAAAGTATCTTTGCTGACCAGTTGCCGTTGGCGAATAAGTAAAACAGTAAACCGGGCCGCGCGTGGCGGAGGATGTGTTGAAGTGGTGAGCAAGAGGGGCGGGAGAGGGATGGAGTGGCTGCGGTTTCACCTCGTAAATTTGTCCCTAGGAATGTGCGGCATTTTTCTCGACCCTCCTTACGCACCCCCCTCCCCCTCCACGCGGGCATTCTTTTGCCGCCCTTGCGATGTTTCGAGTCTCGGCGCGCTATTGGAAGCGATCATCCCTCTTTAAGGATATATTCCGTTGTCCGTGATAAATTCTTTCGCCGCATTAAATTGCTTGCATGATAAATAGATGGTTGTTGTACATGTTTTATTAGTGGACGAGCGAAAATTGCATATTTCGGAAACGTTGCTATTTTAGAATTTCTGATTTTTCTCCTTCAAGTGTGTTTTATATACGCGTTAATGCACAGTGTGGGAAAATTATGTAAAAATAACAATTTGAAAGAATTTAGATAAAAGCGTTTGTTTTGCGCGATCATTATGTACTTACGTGCAGATAATAGATCTAAGTATTAATTGTTTGTGTTATACTGTGTAAGATACATAGCCTTTACATTTTCTAACATAGAAATGCAATTAACCGATGCAGTTGATTGAAACGCAATAACACGAACGCAAATTTGCAACGCACATTAGCTGACGCTTTAGAAGAAGAGGATAAAACAGAGTTTGCCCAATCTTTGAATTCTTGATTAATAGCATAAGAAATATTTTACTAAGATTTATTAACTTCAGTCTTCTGTTTCCGCTATTTGTTATTTGTTTCCGTTTTTTATGTTTTTCAATATTGAAAAACTAAGAAACAGATGGTATAAACTTTAAAAATCAAGAAATCAAAACTTTTGATCAATGTCCAGTCAAAACAAACGTTTTTATCTAAATTCTTTCCAATTGTTATTTTTATATAATTTTTCCATTTTTTCAGTTATAAAAGATTAAGGCGCTGCGATATTTTATCAATAATTATATAATAGTTTTATATAATTATGTAATAGTTTTATATATATATTTTACTTTAGACATTAACCAACATGGAATACCAACGCCAGTTGAACTGGAAAAAACTCCGTAATGAAGTTGCAGCGGCAAGTTATTTCCTGCGAGGCTGTGCGCTTTCTATAGTCGACGTGAGATAACACACGACGTTATTGTCCACATTATTTTATTTATCGAATATCATTTACTTTACGCACGGTGTATACGAGATCGAGTGATTTCAGACACGTTCTTAGCGCGATTCTTCGCGCGATTCCATCGTAAGCTATCGACGCGATGTAGAATGCGCGGTATGTAAATGAGCGTACGTTGCGCGATACTTCGCACAATATCCCCGATACATCCGTCGCGTTCAGCCGAATTACACGGTAAATTTTGCACGCTATCGAATGGCCGCGTTTCATCTTCCACGGACACAACGTACGTGCCGTGGACGCGCTCGCTGGCGTCGGGGGCGCGGATTCGCGGACTA